TACACAGACAGTGACGTCACAGGCAAGCCCTGCACAGAGCAAGGGGAGGGGCAAAACCTCTGCTGTCTCATCTCAAGACCAGAGCCCTGAACAGGGACGTGGGCAGTCCTGTCCTGCTGGAATCTTCCAATGACACCTGACTCCTCTGCTGAATGGCCCTGTGTCTTCTGGGTGCAGATGAGTCTCAACTAATGTGGAACATCCGCCAACCTGACATTCTTGATTGTTTCTGGAGTGTGCATCTGTCTCCTTGGCTGGTCTCAGCTTCGTGTCCTTCATCCACAGGGTCAGTGGCTACTGGAGTCACTTAGTCCCCAAGAAACCTCAAAAATGGTATTGGTGGGGAAGCCATTCTGAAATGCCACCCCATCTCTGGACACAAGACTATATACTGATACTTGTAGGCTCTCAAACACAATCCCCAATTTCTCAGTCAGTATTACAAACAGCAGGAGTATGGGCAATAAAACTTCCCAAATCGCTTCAAAGGAAAACAGTTCAGAAACTACAGCTGATCTGACCATGTGTGCCTTGCATGTGGCAGAGACTGCCATGACCCTCTGTGCCAGCAGCTCCAACACAGTGTGATGACGTGTCCCCCTTTATGCACAAAAACCCTCACACTTCTCTCTCCATGCAGCTCCCGCAACGCTAAAGCAGCTCTTCATTGCTCATCATTCCCAACTGAAGACACAGTTCTCTTCATCAGCTGTCCTTTGGGAAGAGAGAACAAAGCCCTGTTGTGCCTCAGTTGGCTGGGGGTTGCACTGCCAATGAAAGGCTTTCTAGTTGGACTCCCAGTCAGGGCACATGCCTGGATTGCAGATTTGGATCCCTGTTGGGGTGCAGAGGAGAGGCAACCAGTGGATATTTCTCTCTCACACTGATGTTTGTCTTCCTCTCTTTCTCATTCCCTCTCGCCTTTCTAGAGGAAATAAATGAAATCTTTAAACAAGGAGAATACCGAGATCCAGATCTGTGCCCCAAGGCATGGACCAAGCATCACAGACATGAACTTTCTCTGGTAGGACTGTGGGTCTCAGCCCCAAATGCAGCTCTGCTCTGGGTAGAGGGTGTGCCAGCTCCTCAGGGTTGTCTGCATCTGGAAAATTGGTGACACTCTCTTCCTGCGCATCCTTCTCTAAGTTTCCCATCACACTGGGAGCTTTGTGCAGCAACTTGTCAGAGGTTCCTTCCTGTTGGAAGTGAAGGTCCACACCAATTTCATGCCCACAGACTGTGAATCACACGAGTGATCACAGAACAGCTTCATGTCCTCTGTCAGGCTGCAGAAGCCCACACTCTATATTGGTTTCATTTTCCCTCCACTGCACCCTGAGTGTCAGACTGCAGATACTTACATGACCTCTCAGTTTGATCTTGACCCCATGGGAAACCCTTCTAGAGATGAAGGTTTTGTTGGCGTCCTCGCATTTTGACTTGAAGCAATTTCCCTGAATTCTTTGACTCAATAGGACGTGACTTTTTCTTGAAAACATCCCTTATTTCTTTTATTTTATATTTTATGTAGGTATATATTATTTGTTATAAATATAAATAATTGAATCCCTGTCTGTTGGCGCAGCTGCAGATACCTTGGAAATCTATGGCCGTGGGCAGAGGGGTTAGGTCTTTGCATCATGGGTTTCTGGGAGTCATGAGGTAACCTACGGCTCTAAGACTGGGATGAATGTCACAGAGTTTGTGGAGATCGAGGTGCCTGAGCCTTGCATAGCAGGTAACGACAGTGAAAATCCCTCCAAATCCACCTAAAAATGGTGGTGGCCATGACACCAAATCTGTTTACCCAGGGAATTAGAGTCCCAGGAAGGGACCTTTCCAGGTCATGTTTGAACTCTGCTCAGGTCCCTGTGCCTCCTGGGAGGGAGGAAGCCCTGGGCTCCCAGGGAAGCTCTCTGTCCCTGTGAAGCTATCAGGGACCCCTTCCCCGACTGTGTCTCTGTTTATTACACCACCAAGCACCTGACCCTGGCCAACTCTGCTTACTTAGGATACTATTTAGTACCATTGTTATTCTTTTTCCCATTATGTTTACTTTAGCAATGGAGATTTAAAAAACTGTTTATACTTCATCTTGTGTGTTTTCCTTCCTATTTTGGAATATGTATTATTTTCTTTCACTGCCCTTCTCTCCCTCTGCCTTTCACAAGACAATTTGAAGGAAGCAGATCCCAGCCTGTAGCTGTAGATTATGTGATAGTGCTTCAGTAGAATAGGGGTGGGATACTAGGCATGGAAACTGGAAGAAAGAGGCTCACAATGGGAATTAATGTTGAAATTAGGGTTAAGGATGTTGAGACACCACATCAAGGATAGTGCTTCTGGCACCTTCAGCCTGTAAACCAGGCAGACAGTCCCAGCATCCCTTGGGCTGTGGCAGAAGACACAGTAATGAGATGTCAGTTACTGGCCAGCAGATGGCGCTGTGAAGCCATTGACCTGGAAAGGGCTGAGGGAGAGAGTCTGGGAGAGCAGGAAAGGGTTAAGAAGACCTGGGCAGGAATCCAACAGGGCAGGTTTCAGTCATCACTAGTCTACCTACAGCTGTGGAATGGGTGGGAGGTCCCACTAAATTTTAAAAGACCCACAATGAAGGATTTGGTCAAGACAGCCTTGGTGGCAGGGGCAGGTGAAGACAGAGAATTAACTGTCCCCCAGAACTGGGGAAACCAGGAGTTACCCAGGACAGAACAGTGATGTCTCCTCTGTCCTACATGTCTGCAGAGGGAAGCAGCTGTAATCACCAAGGGGTCCTAGGATGCCTGAAGCTGGCACAGGCTCCTCCTGCCCAGGAAGACGGGACGTGCCTACACCTCAGGAGACACCAAGGAGGCCTCTCCCTGAGCCCCCAGGGCAAAGAGGGATGTAGGGTCAGCAGCAAGGTCTGGAAATTAGTTCAGGCAGGGGCAGGTAGGGACAGTGTTGTGGGCACATGGGGATATGCAACCCTTAGCCATGGGGCTGTGCAAGAAACGGAATGATGCATAGAATATCGAACCTGGGTCCGACCAAGGGTTCAGAGCACCAGGGGGCAGCCTTCTTGGAGAGTCTCAATGGAGCAATTAAAACATCAGAGCAGTGGTGTCATAGCAAATGCTCCTATCAGGGCCCAGGGAGTACGGAACTGTAGACTGCTCACAACAGGGGACCCCACCCTTAGCTGGGAAAGGTCCTGGGAAGCTGCCATGGGCCCCAGGCTCCTCTGCTGTGTGGCCCTTTGTCTCCTGGGAGCAGGTGAGCCCTGGACACTGTGTGTAAGTCTCAGACATACAGTCACATCCATGACATGGAAGCCTGGGGTAATGGCTGCCGGGGGTGGCTCCCTGTGGTCTGACCCCTGACTACTCTCTGTCTCCTCCCAACAGGCCCAGCAGACTCTGGGGTCACGCAGACCCCAAAATACCTGATCAAAGCAAGAAAACAGCAAGTGACGCTGAGCTGTTCCTATATCTCTGGACACGTCTCTGTGTTTTGGTACAAACAGTACCAGGGTCAGGGCCCTGATTTCCTTGTTGAGTACTACAATGGGCAAGAGCAAAGTAAAGGGAACATGCCTGATCGGTTCTCAGTGAAGCAATTCAGTGACTCCCGCTCTGAGCTGAATGCGAGCTCCCTGGAGCTGAGTGACTCAGCCCTGTACCTCTGTGCCAGCAGCCTTGACACAGCCCTGCAGGAGCTGCAGCTGCCTGCACAAAAACCCTCTGCCCCACTCAGGAAGTGAGCACAAAGTGGCTGCTGCCAGCCAGGCAGGCTCAGGCCTAGGACTGTAGCTCGCCTGTCTCAGGCACTGTTCTGCTGCTTACAGATGGGGTAAGAGTTGTTCTGATGGACATCATGCAGCTTAAGTATCATTGTTCCTGTATGTACACTTGATGGGAAGTAATGTTCCTGGGTCTCAGACTTTATAACTGAAGGAGCAAGAAATCACTCAAATCTGTTCCTCAACACCCGTGGATTTACGCTCCTGCCCCGCCCCCACTCCCAGGGCTGTGCCCACATTGGCTTCCCTCTTCCAGGTCTAGATGAACAGGCCTGGGATGATCACACACCATCTGGGATTGTCAACCTCTTTCCTGACAGCTTCAAGGAACATTCCACTTCAGGCAACCAATATTCATCCATCCTTCTTGGTGACAGAAAAGAAGGGCACAGTTTCCCAATCTGTGGCTGTCACCTGCACCTACACAGAGCCCTGAAGCAAGTTTGGGGTCCTGCCAAGCATGGGACTGAGGGTAGATTAGCTACAAGTGTTTAAAGACTCATTATATTTATCATAATTAATGTCAGCAATGCTTTCCAGGGAGATATTTCCCGTGGAACAATGCTTCAATTTCAAAAGAGCATTTTTCACTCTCTCACCTTGGTGGCAGCCACCTTTCCCCACAACCCTTTGAAACCCTAAGGTCCAGCAGGGCATCTGCAGATCCAAGCACCACACAGAAAGGGAGGTCCCAGCTTGGACTGGATGTACTGGCCGCTGCCTCATCCTGAAGATGGGAAGTACTTTCTAAGGTGATTCTGAAGCTACTGTGGAGCATCTGGTGGGGGTCCCATCTGTTGGGGGATGGATAGGACACAGAGCCAAGGGCTCCTCAAGGGTTGAAAAGCCTGCCCCTGAGGTTTGGCCACCAGAGACAAGGAGGATCCTTGTGGGAGGAGGGACAGTGGGCAGATGCTGGTTGACCAGCAAAGTAGAAAAAGAGGCTGAGAGATGACTTGGACCCAAGAGTCCTAAAGGCATCAGAAAGCCATCAGGGTTTTCCCTCAGATGCAAAAGCCCAGAGGCTTGTATACACAGCAAACCAGGGCTTCACAAAGATGCGCAGACAGGATGAAGCACACCTGAAGTCACACACTGTGAACAAGAGGGAGAGAAGGACTCTAGGACTCCTGTCAGGTTCAGGCACAAGCATTCCTCTTTCTTCAAGCTGCTCACCTGCAAATCTCTTTCGGATTTGATGCTTAGGGAAGGGGCGTGTCCTCTTGTCACAAATTGGTTCTGGGGCCCAGGCAGTGGGAGTGACAGTTCTGAGAGACTCCTGGAGAGCCGTGCTCCATCCTAGCCTCCCACACACCCAGTTGGACCCTGCATCAGCCTGGCTCCTGCCATGAATGGCGGCCTCCTGTGCTGTGTGGCCTTGTGTCTCCTCCATACAGGTGGGTCTTGGGCTGGGCCCCTCTGTGGGAAGAGTTTCCAAGCCCTGCACCGAGCTGCTTTCTGGTGGCTGCAGCATCTCTTCCTCTTTTATTCCTACAGGTCTGGGGAGGGCCGGCATCACTCAGACCCCAACATTCCAGGTCCTGACAACAGGACAGAAGGTGACATTGAGGTGTACCCAGGACTTGAACCACAACATTATGTACTGGTACAGACAGGACCTAGGTCATGGGCTGAGGCTGATCCATAACTCAGTGGGTGTTGGGATAACTGACAAAGGAGAAGTCCCTGATGGGTACAGTGTCAGTAGATCCAAAAAAGAGGATTTCCCACTCACGCTGGAGGCGGCCACCCCCTCCCAGACGTCTGTGTACTTCTGTGCCAGCAGTGAGTCCACAGTGCTGCACAGCTGCCTCCTCCCTGCACAGAAAGTCAGGGGGAGGCCCAGCACCTGGACTCAGGGAGCCCTGTGCACACTCCTACACCTTGGAGCCCCTGGTGGCTGCTGCCTGTAGGGTGACCCTCTGTGTATGCTGGGGTCACCCTCTAGGGCAGTGTCTGCCAGGCAGGGACCAAACCCAGGGCCTTGGACACACAGGTGTCCACCTTTGCTGTCTGTCTCTGTGTCCTCTGCAGCTGGTCCTTTAGCTGGTCCCCAGCTCTTGCTTTTCTTGCCACCAGCCTGAGTCAGAGGCCATCAGGGTAGACTGTCATCAATAATCAGACACATCTGTGCCCACTGGTGTATCACAAGTATTCCAGTCTCCCTCTGGAAAGATGCTGTGAGAAAAATATTTTTAAATGCATGGTGACTGAGAAGGTTAAGAGGCCTTTCTGTGGGCAGTGGAGACTACCCACAGAAGTTAATGGAAGTTAATGAGCACAAAGGGGACAGTTGGTCATGACCTTCAGAAGGAATAGGAGCTTCCCACTGAGATGTTTCCAGGGTTAGATGCTCCATCTGTGCATCTCTGAGTAGGTCAGCATGTCCAGGGCAAAGCCAAGTCAACCCCGACACCCACCCTCACCTAAGAAAGAGACAGGGTTGGGCATGTGTGACTAGGAGAGTAGAGGGGACCATGACAGAACAGGGTACACCCAGGAGATCCTGAATTGCAGAGGGGGCAATGAATTCACCCTTTGGTGTGCTGTACTGATGATGCTGTTTATGTGTCCTAGTGAAAATGCCAGTTGACCAGGATGACAAGTGAATGACTCAGTGTGAGTCACCTGCATGCAGACAGCCGAGATCCAAAGTGACTGCTGTGCATGGATTTTGTTCAAAAGGTGCTTAAATTAGTCATGCATAAGTGCTCTCATGTGTCCCTGAGGTCGAGAGGACTAATAGAGACAGTGAAGTCACTGTGGGAGCTGCCTTGTGGGGACAAGGGACGTTCCTCCTCATATGCTCCTGCTCACAAGGACCTGCCTTAGTGAACCTCTTATTTCTACCCTGACCCTGCCATGGGCACCAGGCTCCTCTGCTGAGTGACCTTCTGTCTCCTCGGGGCCAGTGAGTCCTCAGAATACCAAGTAGTTCAGTGTGTGTGTGTGTGTTTGACAATTACAATATTTTCATGATTCTTTTGTCAACCTCTGTGTTCCCAGGTCACACAGAGGCTGGAGTCTCCCAGTCCCCCAGCCACAAGGTCACCAAGAGAAGACAGAATGTGACATTTCGGTGTGATCCAATTTCTGGACACAATGTTTTTTACTGGTACCAACAGACTTTGGGCCAGGGCCCAGAGCTTTTGATGTACTTTCAACGCAAGGAAGCGGTGGACACCTCCGGGATGCCTAAAGATCGCTTCTCTGCTGTGAGACCTGAGGGCTCCAACTCCACTCTGAGCATCCATCCTGCAGAGCCAGGGGACTCGGCCTTGTACCTCTGTGCCAGCAGTGCAACCACAGTGTGTCACCATCACCACCTCCCAGCCCACAAACCCTCCTGTGCTCCCCTCTGCTCATGACTCCAAGACTGCCCAATAAAGGAGGTGCCCTGTTCTTCCCTCATCAAGAAACTTAAGTGCATTTGGATTTTCAATGCTTTTTCTCATAGTAAAAACCAGAACACAGCAAGTTGGATTTCTGGGATTCCTTCATACACCTCAAGATTCTATAATTGAGCTGGAGCAGCAGAGTTCTGTCTCAGGTGTGGTGAAATCTTCTCTTGTCAAATAGAAAGTCTCAGCACATGTGTGACAACCTCCTCGTCCTGTGTGTCACTGATGCTGACACGTGATGCCCACATGTGAGCAGCCATGAAGAGCTCTGTTAGGTCACATGCAGCCACCAACCTTAAAAATAAATAAATTACACTCCTTAGTGAAAGCTGTCATTGAAATCAATCATGAGCACCCATCACATGCACAATAAAGAACATTAATGTATGTATAAGTATTGTTTTATTATTCTCTTCTGGACAATCCTACAGGCATTCCATATTTAATTTCCTTCTTTTCTAGCCTATTTTTAATAGAATTTAAATTTAGCTTGGATTAATAAAGACCTGAGTTGAGAACATTTTACAGGGAAGTAATTCAAATGAGAGCTAAATAATAATTATAATGATTCCCCCCTTATTTTCCAGAGATACTTTCTAACACCAAGTGGAATGCAGAAATTGCCAATGGTATGATGGAACCTGATGTACACTGTTCTCCCTACACACTTGCACCTTTCACTTTGAAGGAAGCACTTCACAGCATTTCTTTGGGAGATCTGGTTGCTGGCATCACTACCCCTGCATTTCATGGATGTTGTAGGTAAAATAAGGGTGACTGGACCTCAAGCACTGCCCGAACAGGACAGTCAGTCACATACCAGAGACAGGCCAGTGAGTGGCAGGCAGGGATGGTGCACAGTGTGGAGACACTGGGCAAGGGGGTGGTTCACATCCTGGGTGGGAGAAAGCAGGACAGTGTGAGATTTCACCACACTCCTCAGAATGATGCATATTGAGAAGTGTTGAATTCTTTTTTTCTGGCCTTTATCATTTAATCTTTGGGGACTACAGTTGACCTTTGGAAACTGAATCTTTGGGAAGTGAAACTACAGCTAATGGGGCACTTCTGTGGGTGAAAGTAAAATGCGTGCAGCAGACATAGCAAGACAGGCAGCAGGTAATGCACACGTGTCTTACCATTGTGAGGTCTTCCTGATCCATGTGGAGGGGTATGGGCTGTGGTAGAGATGGGAGGTAAATCATTAACTCCAGAGTCACCACTCAAATAGCAAACAGAGTTATACAGCTCATAGGCCAACAAACACAGAAATGGATTCATTATAAAGATGCCTAATTAATACACAAGAAGGCATGAAACAAAGAACAAGGGAACAAAGAGCAGATATGATTGTAGAAAACAAATAGTAAAATGACAAACATGAAGATGACCAGAACAATATGTACATAAACTCTAAAGAATCTCAATGCCCAAATTGAAAAGCATCCATTGTGATACTGAATACAAGAGAAAGAAAGCAGATGTATGCCACCTACCACCAACTGCATGCACTAGAAGCATAAAGACTCACAGGTGAAATGGAACAGATCCACCATGCTAACCCTAATCCAATGAGAGCTGGAGCAGCAATGTTAATATCAGACAAAGCAAATCTCAGAGCAAGGAGCCTCATTTGAGACAACAAAGGTCATATTCTATAATAAAAGGGCCAATCGATCAAGAAGACAAGGCAATCAGAAATATTTATGCATCTAAAAACAGAGCTTCCAAATACTGAAGCCGAAAAGGCAAAGAGAAAGAGACAAATTCCCAATCACAATCAGACATTTCAACACCTGTCAGTAATTGAATTGAATTGATTGAACTTGACCAAAAAAAAAAAAGTGAGGGTACAGAAGACATAGAAAACATGATCGATCACCTTGACCTGATGGACATTTACAGGATAGTTCACCCAACAGCAGCAGAATGTACCTTCTTACCAAAGGCACCCAGATTGTGTAACAAGACAAACTATGAACTTGGGGCATAAAATAAGTAACAGTACATTTAAAACATTCAAGTCATACAAATCGTGTTCTCTGAACACAGAGGAGCTGAATTAGAAATCAATAACTGAAAGAGCTCTACAAAAATTCCAAATGTTAGAAACTAAACAACAATATTCTAAATAACCAATAGGGTAAAGAATAAATCAAAAGGAAACGATAAAGGGATTTTAACTACTAAAAATGAAAATATAATATATGAAAATCAGTAGAATGCCACACTAGGAATACTTAGGGAGAAACCTAAAAATTAGGGAATATTCCTACTCATCCTGAGCCAGCACTATTTTACCCAAATCAAAAACACGTATCATCAAAACAAAACAAAACAAAACATAAAAACACCCTACAGACAATATCCCTAGTGAGCACAGATGAATAAACCTTTAGAATTCCAGTGTATCAAATACGACATTGAAAAGGATAACACCCCACAACCAAGGGGGGGTCTATCTCAGTATTACAGAGTCCTGACTGTTAACGTTTATAGGGACATCCAGGAAGTTTAACATCTCAAATACTGAAATGCAAAAAAATGATAGGATGATATCTATAGATGCTTAAAGAACATTTGATACATTCCAACAACTATTTCTGTTCAAAACTCTTCTTAAATTACAAGTAATTGGAAGCACCCTTCCCCGAATCCAGGGCATCTGTGAAAAATCTAGGGTTAGTAACATTTTGGGATGTAGACTGTGAAAGGTAAAGATGCATGCCCACTGCACTCTATAGATCCAACACTAAGGGTTGCATGAAAGGGGGGAATAGTCAATTCAACAGTAGTGCTGGAAAGCCCATGTCCATAGGGGAAAATAATGAACCTCAGTGCTTACCTCACTTCATGAAGCAGAAGTGGGACCAACCTGGCCTCTCCTTATTCTTCTATAGCCCAGAAGCTAACCAATACTGTCTGTATTTTTAACTGATTGAAGAAAATAAAAGGAAGAATATGTTCTGACACATGAACATTATAGGAATCTCAGATTTTGGCATTCATACACACAATTTATGGGAACATGTCCCCACTCAGTCAGGTATGCAGTGTCTCGGACTGGTTTGACAAGACTGTGGCAGAGCCGAGTCTCTGGCACAGAAAACCAAACTATTTACCTGCCCCTTTACAGAAAGAGTTGGCTGACTCAGCGGTAACCAAAGTGAATGTGAAATGGGTCAGCATTCACAACGATGTATAAAGCTTTGAAAGGAAGCACAGCCCATTCCTTCCCGATGTTCAGTTAGGCAAACATTTCTTAGGACAAAAAAAAATATTCTGAACTTAAAAAGCACATTTTTTCCATAAAATTTTAAAGTCATGTTCATCAAAAGATATTAAAATATATACACATATGTGAAAGTATATATACATACACATAAATACGTGTAATTTGAAAAAGGACATGTATCCAAAATATAAATACTTCCTACATATCAATAATACATAAAGACATGTAATTCAATTTAAAAAATAGCAAAGGAATTGAGCAGAGTGATTCCCCAGAAAAGTAAATACATAAGTGGGCAGTACCTTCTTCAGAAAACGTTTTTTTCCAGCTGCTGAGGAGATATCTAGGCTGATGGGGGCCCACCATCTGTCCTCCCCAAGAATCACTGGGTAAAGACAGAGCTTTGCTCAGGGTCCTGCCTCCCCTTCACAGGGCAGCTGCATGCATGGTGTCCTCTATCCTACAACACTCATCGATGAGGTTTATCATTTCTATTCCTGTTTTGGAAAATGGCATCCCACCTTCCTCACCACCACAGGCAAAGAGTGAGTCTGAGACAGGTAAACAAGAAATCAGCAGGAGCTGTGCAGAGTCCTGGGGGTTCCCTGATGACTAATTTAAACAGAACCCAGCCAGCTCTGGCAGTGTCAAAGGCGCTGCTGCCAGTGGCCGCTGGAGGGCGCTGTGGGTCCACACAGTGAGAGGCTGCTGGTGCCCTGTGGGACAGGGAGGGTTCAGAAGACAGGCTCAGCTTGGTGCCTGCATTAGAGAAATTATCTTTTGAATCCCAGGTTCACTCATCCTATCTTTTTTCTTAATGGATATGCTGGTGTGTTTCACAAAGCAAGAAACCATGAATTTGGCCTTGCTTGAGTGGTAGCCTCTCTTGGAGCCTGTGTTTGGTGGAGAGTGTGATGGGGCTTCAGTGAAGAGCATGTAAAATTCAAGCCAGGTATAGAGCAAGGAGCACCTGCTACAAGGCAAAGAGAACCCATGCTGATGGCCACCTGCCCTGTACCCTCAGGTTTAACTCAGCACAGCCAGCTGCACCTACTCCTAGGAAAATGGACAGAATCAGGGAATGCAGGACCAGCTGAGCTTGTCCTGGGGGTGTGGGTACCCACAAGTGCCTACAAAGACAATGACATCACAACAGTCACGTCACAGGCAAGCCCTCCAAAGACAGCAAAGGGAGGGACAGACCTCTGCTCTATGAACTGAAGGACCAGAGTCCTGAGCAGGGACATGTCCAGTCTTGTGCTGCCTGAGTCTTCCAGGGGCACCCAGCTCCTCTGCTTTGTGGCCCTGTGTCTCCTGGGGGCAGGTGAGTCTCAGCTCAGGTGGGAGGTCCCTCTGGCCCAATGTTCTTAACTGTTGCTGAAGTGTTCATCTGCCTCCTGGGCTGGTCTCAGCTCTGTCTCCTTCCTCCACAGGGTCAGTGGCTGCTGGAGTCACCCAGTCCCCAAGACACCTCATCAAAGGCCATGGTGGAGAGGCTGTTCTGAAATGCCATCCCATCTCCGGGCACAACCGTGTGTACTGGAACCAGCAGGCTCAGGGGCAGGAACCCAGGTTTCTCATTCAGTATTACGAACAGAAAGAGATCGGGAAAGGAAACTTCCCCGACCGCTTCAAAGGAAAACAGTTCAGTAACTACAGCTCCGAGCTGGCCATGCACACCTTGCAGCTGGAAGACTCAGCCCTGTACCTCTGTGCCAGCAGCTTAGACACAGCCCTGCAGGGTCCATGCCTTTCTGTACCCAAACCTTCCTGTCCCAGCTGATGTTACAGGCAGAGGGAGGGGACCTCCACAGAGTTCCACAGATGTTTTCATTGTTTCTATCATCTTCCTGTTCTGCTGAGCTCGGCCTGAGCCTTCCTGAATGTTCTCCCAGCTCTGCCAGCTTCATCCGATACCCAGGACCTGGCAGGAAGTCCTGCTCAGTGACAGAGTGGAGACTCACCCTGTGTGCTTTGGTGCACAGTCCTGGTGGACACCGTGCATCCACTTTACAGGGGGGCTGCTCGGTGCACCATTTCACAAACAGGGAGCTGCAGCGCCTGGACATTCCAAACGTTCCATGCACGTCCTCCTGCATCTCCACCCCTCTGAAGTCAACAAGCCCCTGGATTCATGGTCCTTCCAGAGCCTTGTTCCATTGGGTAGAACAGAGTATGCTCTCTCCCATTCCACGAGCATCTGAGCTGGGATGGGGAGGTCACCCCTCAGGTGTGGGGTACACAGCTGATTGCCTGCCAATTTTGAGGACACAGAGCTTCAGGTCAGAGGACATGTGTCTGTTCTGTCATAGTTCCACAGAGAGTGAGGCCATGATATCCCAGCAGGGTGATACCACCCTCACTGCTGAGTTATTGTAGTTGCCCATTGAGATGACATCAAGATATGCAGTCAGAGAAACAGGGTCACCTGAAATTATAAAGGGATTTTAACTGAATGAATGAAAATAAAACACATCAAAATTGGTACGATACAACTAAATGAGTATTTAGGGCTAAACCTGAAAATCAGGGTATAACTCGCTACTCATCCTGAGCCACTACTATGATACTCAGTCAGATATAGATATTAGCAAAACAAACAAACAAAAAATCCTACAGGCTAATATATCTCATGAAAACTGATTAATAAACCATTTATAATCTCAACGGGCCAAATACAGCAACATACAATGAGGATAATGCATCATGACCAAGTGGGGTTGTCTCAGTAGAATACAGTCATGACTATTTAACATTCAAAAATAAGTCTATTAGTTTAACACCTCCAATACTAAAAAATCAGTGTCATATGTCATCTCTACAGATCCTCAAAAAACATGTGATATAATCCAACATCTGTTCCTGACAAAAATTCTTCTTAAATTAGAATTGGAAACACCCTTCCCCTAATTCAGGGCATCTGTGAAAAATTTAGAGTTAGTTACATTTTGGGAGGTAGACTGTGGTAAGGTAAAGATGCATGCCCACTGCACTCCATAGATCCAACACTAAGGGTTGCATGAAAGGGTGGAATAGTCAATTCAACAGTAGTGCTGGAAAACCCATATCCATAGGGGAAAATAATGAACCTCAGTGCTTACCTCACTCCATAAAGCAGAAGTGGGCCAAACCTGACCTCTCCTGGTTCTTTGAGGGCCTGGAAGCTAACCATTGGGGTTTATATAAGTGGTTGGAAGAAATAATATTTTGTAACAAATGAAACTCAGATTTCAACCTCCATACACCAAGTTTATTGGAACTTAACTTTACTAAATAACCTACATAGTGTCTCTGGCTGACATGGCAAGGCAGTGGCAGAGCTAAGTATGTGGGCCACAAAAGAGAAGATGCTTACCACCTGCCTCTTTACACAATGAGTTTGCTGACAACGGACACACACAAAATGAATATGAGATGAGTCAAAATTCACAAATCTATAAAGCTTTTGAAAGAAAGCATAGCACATTCTCTTCATGACCTTGGAGTAGGCAAAGATTGTGTAGGGAGAACAAAAAGTATTGTAATCCGTACAGACAACATTTTTTTCAACGTTCTGGCCAAGATGGAGTCATAGGAAGAAATGCTTCACTTCCTCACACAATGGAAAGAAGGATAGCAACCAATTTAAAAACAAAAACAACCAGAACTGCCAGAAAATTAAACTGAGTGGAAGTCTGATAACCGAGGAGTTGAAGAAGAAACATTCATCCAGAGTGATAGGAAGAGTGGAGATGGGCAGCCAGGGAGAGGATGTGTGGCAAGGTGATGGAGTGGGTGGTCCCACATTTGCTCATAAATAAGCCGGGAAGAACAAGTGGAGAGTGAGACAGACCACAAAACCCAGGGTTTCAGCACAGAAAACTAAAGACTCAAAAACTCTGGCTGTAAAAACCTGTAGGGGCTGCAGTGGTGAGAGAAACTCCCAGTCTCACAGGAGAGTTTGTTGGAGGGCCCATGGGGTCCTAGAATGTTCATAAACCTGCACACCTGGGAATCAGCACCTGAAAGGGCACAATTTGCTTATGGGAAATGAGAGAGAAGTGATGGAAAGACTGCAATAGCTGAGTAAGTGGCATTGTTCCCTCATGGATCCCTGCCCCACATACAGCCTCACAACACATTGAAGATGGTTGCCCCACACTGGTGAATACCTAAGGCTCTGTCCCTTACTGCATAACAGGTGTACTGAGACAAAGAAATATGGACCAAGTGAAAGAAGAGATCAGAACTGCAGAAAAAGAACTAGGCAACAAGGAGTTAAACAACCTATCAGATGCAGAGTTCAAAACGTTGGTAATCAGGATGCTCATAGAATTGAAGAGCTTGGTTGCAAAATGGGGGAAGAAATGAAAGCTACCCAAAGTGAATTAAAGCAAAATATACAGGGAACCAACAGTGGAGGGAAGGAAACCAGGACTCAGATCAACAATTTGGAACAAAAGGAAGAAATAAACATCCAACTGGAACAGAATGAAGAAACAGGAATTAAAAAAAAAAATGAGGAGAGGCTGAGGAACCTCTGGCACCACTTTACATGTTCCAACATCCAAATCATAGGGGTGCCAGAGGAGAGGAAGAACAAGAAGTTGAAAACTTATTTGAAAAAATAATGAAGGAAAACCCCCAATCTGGTAGAGGAAATAGACTTCCAAGGAGTCCAGTAAGCTCAGAGAGTCTCAAAGAAATTGTTTTCAAGAGGCACATCATAATTAAGTCACCCAAAAGTAAAGGAGAGAATCTTAAAAGTAGAGAGAGGAAAGGAAAGAGTTATTTACAAAGGAGTTCCCATTAGACTATCAGCTGATTTCTCATAGGAAACCTTACAGACAAGAAAGGCTGGAAAGACATATTTGAAGTCATGAAAGGCAAGGACCTACATCCAAGATTGCTCTATCCAGCAAAGCTATCATTTAGAATAGAAAGACAGAGAAAGTGCTTCCCAGATAAGGTCAAGTTAAAGGAGTTCATCATCACCAAGCCCTTTTTATATGAAAAGTTAAAAGTACTTATGTAAGAAATAGAAGAAGATCAAAAACTAGGAACAGTAAAATGACAAGAAACTCACAACTATCAACAACTGAATCTAAAAAACAAAACCAAAAACTAAGCAAACAATAAGACAGGAGCAGAAATAGAGATCACATGGAGTAAAGGTACAGGGAATAAGAAGTATAGGTGGTAGGCACAAAATAGACAGGGAGGGGTTAAGAATAGTATAGGAAACACAGAAGCCAAAGAACTTCTATGTACGAGCCATAGACATCAACTAAGGGGTGGGGGAATGTTGGAGGGTGAGACAGTGCAGGAAAGATGGGGAGAAAATGGAGAAAAAATTGGGACAATGTAATAGCATAATTAATAAAATATGCCTTAACAATAAATAAATAAATTGAAACTTAAAAACACACACATTATCCTTTATGCAAATCTTTAAAATCCTGTTCATCAAATGATATTATAAATATATATCTGAAAAGAGCATGTATTCAAAATATAAATAATTCCTAGAAATCAATAATTTAAAAAGATAATTCCATTTTCTTAAAAAAACAAAAAAAAAGTTGAACATTGTGCTCTAAAAAAAAGCGATATGTAAGTAAGCCATTTCTTAGTTCTTTCTTCATAGTGAGTTTCCTTCAGCCCTGAGATTTCTTGGCTGAAGGGAGCCCACCATCGGTCCTCCTCAGGAATCACTGGGTAAAGACAGAGCTTTGCTCAGGGTCCTGCCGCCCCTTCACAGGGCACCTGCATGCATGGTGTCCTCTTTCCTAGATCACTCATTGATGAGGTTTACCATTTTTATTCCCGTTTGTAAAAAGGCATCCCACCTTCCTCCCCACCACAGGCAAAGAGTGAGTCTGAGACAGGTAAACAAGAAATCAGCAAGAGCTGTGCAGAGTCCTGGGAGTTTCTTCATGGCTAACTTAGGCAGAACCCAACCTCTCTGGCAGGGCCAATAGCGCTGCTGCATAAGTAGCCACTTGAGGGCGCTGTGGATCCACAGAATGAGATACTAATGGCATCCTGTGGGAAAAGGAGGGTTAAGGGGAAGAATCTTGGGTTGATTCCTGCCTCAAGGAGATTATCTGATGAATCAGAGGTTCACTGACCTTATCTTCTCACACTGACAGATATGCAGGTGTGATGCAGGTGTGAGTGTTACAGCAGAGAGCCATGAACTTGGCCTTACATGGAGTTAAGTTTCTCCTGGAGCCTGTGTTTGGTAGAGAGTGTGATGGGGCTTCAGTGAGGAGTGTGGATAATCCTAGCCAGTGTAGAGTGAGTAGCACCTTCTCCAAGGCAAAGAGAACCTGTGCTGATGGCCACCTGCCCTGTACCCTCAGGGTCCAACTCAGCACAGCCAGCTGCACCTACTCAGAGGAAAATGGACAGAATCAGGGAATGCAGGATCAGATGAGCTTGTCTTGGAGGTGTGGGTACCCACAAGTGCCTACAAAGACAATGACATCACAACAGTCACGTCACAGGCAAGCCCTCCACAGAGAGCGAAGGGAGGGACAGACCTCTGCTCTATGAACTGAAGGACCAGAGTCCTGAGCAGGGACATGGCCAGTCATGTGCTGCCTGAGTCTTCCAGGAACACCCAGCTCCTCTGCTTTGTGGCCCTGTGTCTCCTGGGGGGCAGGTGAGTCTCAGCTCAGGTGGGAGGTGCCTCTGGTCCAATGTTTTTAACTGTTGCTGAAGTGTCCATCTGCCTCCTGGGCTGGTCTCAGCTCTGTCTCCTTCCTCCACAGGGTCAGTGGCTGCTGGAGTCACCCAGTCCCCAAGACACCTCATCCAAGGCCATGGTGGGGAGGCCGTTCTGAAATGCCACCCCATCTCCGGACACAACCGTGTGTACTGGTACCAGTAGGCTCAGGGGCAGGAACCCAGGCTCCTCATTCGGTATTACGAAAAGAAGGAGTATGGGAGAGGAAACCTCCCAGATCACTTCTCAGCAAAAGTGTTCAGTGACTACAGCTCTGAGCTGGCCATGCACAGCTTGCAGCTGGGAGATTCGGCCATGTGCCTCTGTGCCAGCAGCTTAGACACAGCCCTGCAGGACCCATGGCTCTCTGTACCCAAACCTTCCTGTCCCAGTTGATGTCACAGGCCGAGACAGGGGGCCTCAATCAAGTTCTACTGTTGGTTTTTGTTCCTTTCTAACTCTCTCCCAGTCCTGCTGAGCTCAGCCAGAGCCTTCCTGAATGTTCCCCCAGCTCTGCCAGCCCCGTGCAATTCTCAGGACATGGCAGGAAGGCCTCCTAAGTGACAGAGTGGAGGTCCACCATGTGTTTTGTGGTGCACGGTTCTGGTGGACACCGTGTGTCCACTTTACAGAGAGGGGGGGCGCTCGATGCACCATTTCACAGACAGGGAGCTGCAGCTCCTGGATGTTCCAAAAGTTCCATGTATGTTCGTCCTCCATGTCCATGCCTCTGAAGTCAACAAGCCCCTGGACCCATGGTCCTGCCCAGGCCTTGATCCATGGGATAGAACAGAGCACAGTCTCTTCCATTTCAAGAGCCTCTGAGCTGGGATGGGAAGTTACCCCTCAGGTATAGGGTGATCACCTGCCAACTGCTAGGACATAGAGCTAACAAGTCAGAGGACATGTGTCTGTCCTGACATAGTTCCAGACAGAGCAAGGGCGAGGCCATGATATCCCTCTAAGAGAGGAGCTAAGTGACCCGGGGGATATCCTGTCTGTCAGTAGATTCTAGGAGGGAAACAGAACCCTCTAGAAATGTCAAGGAGCATTCTGGGAGCTCATGCTGGGAATGCGTGTTTCTAAACCACTGCAAGGGGTAGAGGAGGGTGAGGGGTCTCAGCCTGTCCCCAGCACCACCACTTCTGGTCAGAAAATCTGAAACTGCTATACCTGTCCAGGTGAGGAGCTGCAGAGGTCAGCTGAGCGTCACATCTTCCCAGCCTCTGATTTCTGACTCCATGTCCTTTCTCACTGCTGGGTGATTGTTGTTGCCCATCAAGATACACAGTCACAGAAACAGGGTCACCTCACACTGAGGTATGACCTGTGTAAGAGGTAGCAGCATGGGGATCTCTGGCTAAATACCTCATCCACATCACTGACAAAGGTCTCTCTTTTTCACAGAGAGCACAGTCACGGGGACAAAGGTATCCAGTCTCCTGGGGCCTCAGCTGGAACCAAGGGAGACTCACCCATGACCACCCAGAGACCTGGGCTCAGGTGGCCGGGCTCCCACCAGTGGGTGAGTCATGAGACAACGGAAAACAAGTCTCAGATTCCAATGACCCTGACCCTGAGGCTGTGAAAACTTTCTGGGTATCAGTTAGTTCCTTTAAAGGACAGAATTGCTGTAGGCTGGCTTTGAAATTGTCCAGAATTTACACAAAGAGAAAAACTAAGTAAACATATGTGAAGGTGTATTATGCGCAGAGAAATTTGCCAAAGCACCAAAAATGGTGTTAAAAATTGTAGCAATATTCAAATAAGGACTTGTATCATTATGCATAGAGGCATGAGTTTTATACCTGAAGGCAGGAAAAAAGGTTTTACCACTTATTAGATTTCTTTCAAAACAGACTTACACATTTTTCCCATGCTGCTCTTCTCAACTTTCTCTGTGTCACTGACTTGTTCCTGTAGGAAGGGGTGTGGCAGGTTAGCTCTGTAGCTCAAACATTTGTGAAGGTCAGTGATGTCACTGAGTCTCTGAGAGGCTGAGTCCTATGTTCCCAAACAGAACCAGAAGACGTGACATCCTGCCCTGGAGTAGCAATGGTCTCCAGGCTCTTCTTCTACATGGGTCTTTGTCTCCTGTGGGCAGGTGGGTGCAGGTGGGCTTCCTGTCCTGGAATTCCCAAGACTTCATTCCATGCCTTCGTCTTACAATGACAACCTCACACTATGTCACTCCGTCTTACAGGACACCTGGATGCCACAGTCACTCAGAGTCCAAGATACAAGGTCACGGGGACAGAAAAGAAAGTGACACTGAGTTGCCACCAGACTTATAACTACGACTATATGTACTGGTATCGACAAGATCCGGGTCACGGGCTGAGGCTGATCTATTATTCATATGGTATCGGCAGCATCGACAGAGGAGATGTCCCTGATGGATATGGTGTCACTAGATTAAATACAGAGGACTTCTCTCTCATGCTGGAGTCAGCCACCCCCTCCCAGACGTCTGTGTACTTCTGCGCTAGCAGTGAGTCCACAGTGCTGCACAGCTGCCTCCTCTCTGCACAGAAAGTGTCAGTAGAAAGCCTAGGGTTGCACTCTGAGTCCTGGCCCAACCCCCAGGAAGTTTCTGACAGTGTGGGCGCCTTACAGAACTGGACACTATGACCCTCAGTGCCAAAGTCCTTTTCTATACCAGTCTCAGCCTGACTGGAGGCCAGCCACCCTCACACTCAACTAGCTGATTCTGTCTTCTGCAGCTCTCTCTCTCTCTTCCTGTTTGCAGAAAAAAATGCATCATAAGTGGAGCTGTATGAAGATTTTCCTGATAATCTTATGTCCCCATGCTCTCCTAGGGGCTTCAGCGACTTCTTCATTTACGCTGGTCCCCACCTTCTATTCCCTTCAACTTATAGTCATAAACTTTCATTCAGTTGGATCTGCTGCTGGCTGCCTTTCTCCTATGGGACAATAGCCTTACTAGGTCCTACAATGCTTGCCCTTCACCTTGCCCATGACCTCCACGGTCTTCTTGTACAATTCTCCTCTGTTCTCCCTGCCCTAGATTCATTCATCCACATTCAGTTTCTCCCTCAGATGTGCCTCCTCAGGGCTGTGTTTTACAGATTATTTCTTCTGCACGGAACTTATGTCTCGCCCTCTTATTGCTAGATCTACCCCTCATTCCTTAGGGGACAAGGTATTTTAGGCATACTTACTCTCAAATGTGAAAAGTAGAACTTAGATTTTACCAGGAGAAATAAAGAAAATGTATTTAGGCACTCATTGAAGGGAGGGTGTTTTTAGCAAAGACACAAAAGAACACAAACATATTTATAAAGTATATAAATACTCATAAAATAATGTAATATACAAATATTGACAAACATATTTGTCATTTCAGTGGCATTAAGTTATACCCTTGTACATCAAAAGACACCATGAAACACAGATAGGTAAGTTGCAGACTGGGAAGGGACATGAGGAAGGGACACCAGTAGGCAGCATCCGTGTGACAGACCCCTTGTGGTCACCACCTCCCCAGGTTGCTCTAGATCTCAGCCTTGCTGGCAAGTGTAGGGACCAGAGAGAGAGAGAGAGAGAGAGAGAGAGAGAGAGAGAGAGAGATATTGATGTGAGAGGAAAACAATGATCCATTACCTCCCCTTCACGCCCAACCATGGATCAAACCTGCAAACTAGGTACATACCCTGATCAGAAATCAAACCCACAATCTTCCAGTTCATGGAATGATCCTCTAACCAACTAAGCCACGTGGCCAAGGCCACTGATCTTTTTTTAAAAAGCCATGAAATTCACTTGTAAGTCACGTTACTGGTGTCAGTTTTTTCAGATTCCAGAGGTCTGTTCAATTTTGTATTGCTGATACTGTGTTCACCCTGGTATTTTCAGGAATAAGAGAGTTCTCTACCCTTTGCAGATAAGATATATGACATCCACAACCTGAAAGCTGGCAGCGTGGGGATGAAGGCTTCAGTTTGCTGGGCATCATGGAGGTTGGCAAAAGCAAAAAGGAAAGTGGTCTCTGACCTCTGGACAGAAGAAAAGCTTCTGACTTCAATCTACACCCTGGGCTTCATCTCATCTCTCTACCTGCAAGTGTGCCAGTTGGTTCCAGGTTTTTCTAGGCTAAAGTTGTGGGAATTACCGCAGCTTCCACTTTGTCTACGTTCCCGTGACTGGGGGAATGGGGACCACCGTAAAAGAGAAACATCCAAGGAGAGGGGCCATTGCAGATGACGCAGAGGTCTTGGCCACAACCCAGCAGAAACATCTGGCAGAGGGTCAGAGGACAGTGATGGGAGGTGCAAAGATGGGGTGGGGGGGGGCCCAGTCACTTGGGCCCTGGAGCAATAAATGGAGGCCACTTGGATGAGCTTACACACTGTCTGTGAATATATTGAACACACTTGTTGGTATGATTTAGTTTACAACAATTGGTTTTTAAGACAAAGCAGCTGTGGAGACAGTGATGTCACTGTAGGGATGGCCCTGTGGGGACAAGGGACATCCCTTCTCTTCTGCTCATGCTCACAGGGATCTGACCTGGTGAACCTCCCATTCCTGTCCTGACCCTACCATGGGCACTGGGCTCCTCTGCTGGGTGACCCTCTGTCTCCTGGGGTGTCTCCTTGGGGTCCTCAAAACACCAAGACCTCTGCATTTCATCTTTCCAGGGATCACTCCCATCATTTCCTACTTCCTTTGTCTTTTCCCTTCACAGAACTCACAGGAGGTGGCATTATCCAGTCCCCCAGACGTAAGATCCTAGGAAAAAGTCAGGCAGTAACTTTGTGGTGTAATCCTGTTTCTGGCCACCAAACCCTTGCAGTTCTGGGGACAGGGCCCAGGGCTTCTGATCCGCTTTGAGAATGAAGAAGTAGTGGATGATTCTCAGTTGCCTAAGAATCGATTTTCTGCACTGAGGCCCAAAGGAACAGACTCAACTCTCAAGATTCTGCGTGCAGAGTTGGGGGACTCGGCCGTGTATTTCTGTGCCAGCAGCCTAACCACAGCATCACAGAGACACTTCCGTCCTGTGCAGGAAACACCAGGTTTCTCCTCTCTCTGCTCTGCTCCCAGAAGCTCTAAACACAGGCCTTCCCTCGTTCCTCACACACAGGAAAGAAGTGAGCCTGCAGAGACAAGCTAGAATTCATGAGAAAGGAGGACATGAATTATTTCTCAAAACATCAGTGCTGAAAAATCATTATGACTCAGGCATTTGAAGCACTTTTTGGGGACAATTCAAGGATGCAGAACTGAAAGTGACTTATGTCTCACAGACTCAGCCCTCAGGCGCTAGTGAGAATTCGTCTCTTATAAAAATTATGCAGTCACCAAAATGTACAATCTACTTTAATAATAATACAGATGGTGGTTCCGGGAGAGAAGCAAACAGCAGGGTCTCCCTCTGTGGTGGCTTTTACCCTCTAAATGATTTTAATTGATATCCTTTTCTATCTAGGTTCCCCTCTGCCTTTCTAATCAGATTTTCTGCATCAAAGTTTCCATACATAGCATGTGTTTGGAAAACATTTTTTTCATTTTGTGGAATCATGTTGATAATAATGATGTTTTTGATGATGGCGATGATGTCAGCTGTTTTATTCAGTCCTTTTTCCTACTTCGAAGGAACACACACAAATGGATATTGTGGCAACTGGTCCCAAATCTCAGCTCAGAATGAATTCTCCTTTCTCTGGGGTGGTCTCAGGACCTCTCAACATTTGGAGGCTGTTGAGAACAGTTCCAGCTATCTGCCCTAGTACATTAAACTAGCTCCTTAGTGCATTAAACTATTCCTTAGTAAAAACTTCTGAAACAATCCATTGCCCTTGATCCAATGATCCCATCCGATAATACTGTGCACTCTTTGTGTGGAGATCCATACCCTGTACTCTTACTTCTGCCTGGATTCTCTAAGACGAGAAGGCAGTTTGGAATACTGGTTGGAATTGTTGGGGAAGCAGCACACTGAGGTTTTCCTGAAGGTATTATCATTGCTGCTCAGCCCCTGCTGGCTTCCCTTCCTCTTTGTCCAACCCAGACAGCAAGTCACAACGTCTGTCCATTCACACGCTACGTGTCCCTCATCTCCTCTGCCTGTGTCTCCCTCCCTCCCTCCATCCAAGTGCCTTGTCTGATGAACTTCCAACATTGGTGGGTGCAGCGACCCACCATCTCCTTGCCAAAGGTTTCATGTGTTTGTTTTCCAATCTGCTACATCACATTTTATAGTTACTAAGACCCTAATAACATTCTCCTAGACTGTCTTCAATCTCTTTAAACACAGGACACAGTGGTTTTAGTGGCTGATAATTTTCACAGCCGAGATCTCTGTGGGGCTGTTTTAATTGATTTCCTGCTGCTTCTCAGTTGTGCTGTTTGTGTTTTCATGGTGTGTGTATGTTTTGCTTATAAATCTGATTATCTTTGACTTGGTGCTAGACACTGGCTTTGTAGATATAATTTTTTTTTTTGGTCTAGGATGGATGAATCTTTCTCCAAAGAGAATTTTATTTTGCTTTTGCCAAGTGCAAGGGGTATCAGCAAGTTGGAGCGACCTGAATTAGCATTCAAGGCATGAGGTGTCCCGGATCAGCTAGAGAACACATTGACCTCTAGGTCATCTGTGCATTGTGTTTGTCCCCTTTCCCAGTTTGGTAGGTTTTGTTTTTGATCTTTGTCCCCCTGTCCTGTGAGCACTGAGACTGTATGGGGCAATGCCTTCAGGGCAAAAAGACCGCCATGTCCCTCCCTAGGTACTTGCCCTCTCCAAGACCCCAGCCTACTATCCCTCCCTGTATTTTTAGGACAGTAATTAAAGTTTTTTATTTTACTTTATCCAACTATTTAGACAAACAGGAAGGGTTGGGTTGAGTGCTCTCATCTGTCATTACTAGGATTAAGGTCAAAATAATTTTTCGTGAAATTTTAAATTAAAAAAATAATGTCAGATTCTGAGTCTGTCATTTCTTTAAATAACTTAAGTGACACAGAGATTTATATATCAACTTTAATTTCAATGAAAAAATAAAAAAACTTAAATGGTATTTATAATCAAATTGAGATGGCTATTTGTTTTTATTATTTTATTACTAGAAGTTTTATTTATTTTTTCACTTTTATTGCATTCCAGTAAAAGTCACGTTCCACTGAACTCTGACATTCCACTGAACTGTGTGATGAGACAGGATATAAAATAGGGACTGAATATTTAGACTTGGTCAGAAAGTATAGAACAGACTTACAGTTTGTTTAATTGCTATTGCAACACACGTACTTTTTAAATGAGTATGTCCAAGGACAAGTGGTTGGAACTGGGAAGAATAATTGATACATGGCTATCTGTATTTCCCCACGGAAACCCAGTCTTGTGGGAAAAATCACTCTTCCCACCTGGGGGAATTCCCTAAAGAAGTTCCCCTGTTCTGATTTTTCTATTCTTTGTGGAATCTTGTCTATGGGAGGCACAAAAGTGTATTGTTTAATCTCTTCATCCTAATTTAGTCTCTATCTTCTTACTTTCTCACTAGCCACCTAGAGAAGAGATAGGTTATTTGGTGTTTTCTCCACATGCACTAAAATTAGTGGGGAACTTTCTTTTCTTACGGGGTCCACCTGTAGTTTGGAAGGGAGAGAAG